ATATGTATAGAGGTTATTGCTATTTTGAAATAAGTTCTTAAGGTTATTTTTCCTAAAACATAGAACAGTAAATAAAGAAGTAAAGCAAACAATTATCCCTTCTAGTTAAGACCTTTGTACTCGTTTGCTGCTTGATGTAGGGTGCTAAGCCTTTAAATATTTTGCCCATAGAGGACATGAAACAAAATATTTTTTTTAGGTTTTATATATACTTTGAATAACTAAAAAATCTAATTAATACATCAATACTATAGAAATCTACTATAATTTATCAAACTTAGTCTAAAAAAAATATTAAATTTTGAGTAGATTAAAGACACAACCTACCTCATTAAAATCTTGGTTTATAAGATAGAAATGGTGCTAGGTATGTTAGAAATGCTGAGAAAACCACAAGGGGGACATTCTGAGCTTTTGATTGGTTATTCATGTCATATATACATATAATTAAGTGTATGTAAGGGAGCATTTTCAAAATTGGAAATAGGTGAGTGGGGTGCCACTGTACGTGGTTTATTACATGAGCAATATCTTAGCAAATAGAAAAGGTAAGACCTTATTTTATATTCTAGCTTGTTAATATTGGTAAAATCGAGTTTCTAATTTGTATAAAACTACAGACTTTGTATTTTTACTTCACAAACATCTAATTTGAACCAGTGCTACATTCAACATACCACGTGACACACAAAAATCAATGTTTATCTGTGTTTTTTTAATACTTACTTTTAAATTGACAAATTGAGTAATGTATAGTTCTAAAATTTGAATTATAATCTACAGTTTGATACAAACTTATTGACATAAATTCATGAAATAATAGTTCAATAAAATTTTAAATGTGAGTCAACAAACGAGATGACAAGGCCTTTCACCTGTGACCTGTCTCAAAAGGGTTAAGTTTAAAACTTTATATTTTGTAAAATATTGTAAGAAACATTGCTCCTTGAAGGCTTGCATTCTCTAGTTATTGTTTGTTATGGTGTCAGTTGAATGAGTCAGCATTCATTGAGAAGTTTCGCTAAAATAAACGGTTTCAAATGGTTAATTCACATATATAATAACACATGAATTGTCTTATATCATACTAATATATGAATACAAAAAAAAACAAAACTTATCTTAGTAAAAGCAATACATGAAAATATATTAAAAAAGCTTCAGTTTTAAATATGTTTGTCCCATCCAGAGATATGTATTATTATTTTTTGAATTATTTTTCCATTACAACTGAACAATCCTTTAAGTAAACATATACTTTTGATTTTTAATTAACTATTTTAGATTTTCAAAACATATTTTATTCTCATTTTCGCTCCACAATGGCTCATTTGTTTGAAGATTTACAATGATAAAAATGTTGTTTTGGTAGCTGTGGTGGACACAACACAGATATCCATTGTGTACCTTTGCCCTTAACAACAAACAAATTTTCATTCTTACTTAGTGATTATTTTCCTGTTTAATAACAGTTTTATGAAAACTAAATAAACTTACTTGTTTGGTTAGAAACAGTTTTCATTTCATTTTAATTTAACTATCACCATTGGTTTCCTTTGCTGAGTATGACACAAAGTTTTAGTGTCTTACATTCAAAATTTTATTAAACAATTTTTTGTTTATGCTATGCCACTTAGTATAGCATAAAATCTTAGCTAATAATCCATATTTTAGTAATATATATATTTTAAGTTCTTAATTCTATAAGTTAATATTTAAAAAAATCCTGAATTTCTCCTAGTGTGACACATTTTCTCTTAGCATGTCATCATCCCTATTTTATCCACCACCTATTGAAAAAGTAAACGTAAATTACTCACTGTAAAATCATCATTGCTCAGACAAACCATAATTTTTTACCCTTCAATTTTGTTTCGTTACAGAGCTATTGAATAGAAAATCCAACCCCTCCTGCCACATCCACCTGTCACATTCTCTTTTTCTTGATTTGTTAATAGTTTTTGGTTATGTTTATTTATATATTGCCTATAATCAATGGAAAGTCAAAGTTTTCATTTATCAAATGACATATTGTATAACATTGTGTTTTGAACAGATAAGCCTCAATTTCACTCACAGTACAAGCTTCGTTCCCATGGGAAAGCTAATGACAAGCTTGGATGAATTTGTAATGACTCTAGTTGCATAGTTAAAAAAAAACAGGAAAACTTTGAAAGTTAGGGAAAATTGTCTACTATTTGCATGTTATTAGTCTATGTTCTTTGGTGCATTATTTAATTAAATAAAAAGTATTTAGTGCATTACTTCCATTAGTATAAAAAAGTAGGGTTAATTGTTGTCGACAACAAGA